CCAATTACAAAAATATCATACAACTGTGCAGGGAAAAACAAGGATTCTGGCAATTTAAAGAAAGGTCAACAGTAGTGCTGGTATCGCTTAGAACATACAATACCTTTTCTGTTTTGATAAGTATGGCTGTTAGACTTCTTGCTCTTAGACTGTATGCCAACTGGTGCACATTGCCTTAGATCAAGTAGTGGCAGGTTTGACTCCAATTGAAAAGCATTCCCTTACCTGGTCGTGCATACTTGCGGCTTTTGCTTCCTCCGCAGGCAGTGTTACCTCCCCCAAAGTTCTTGTTGGCTGGTTTTCCCCAAGCCCTAAAAGAGGAAATCTTAAGACTTAAACTTGGCACAGGTTGACAGCAGATAACTGATTTGGCGACTATGACTTAGTGCAGTACCTTAATTGAAACTGTCTGAGAGTTTACGGCAGGTCTGGCATGGTGCAGTCTGTACTCTCACCACAGGAGAGCTCGGAGAGAGCACCAGAGCGGGCAGGAAGGCGGCCAGGCCCAAATGGATCCTTCAGAAAACAACACACACACACACAGCACACACACCAACAGCAAAACCGTATGAATGGTAAAGTAAAAATGCTAAAAGGTGTATCACAAATGCTAGGAAGCTCTACCTATCACAATCCCCCTGAGCCCTGACATAACTTGGCAGCAACTGGACAAACGTGCAAGAAACCATATAAGGGACAATAAAAAGGCAACCATTGCGAATATAGTGAGCATGAACGCAAACACTGTCAGTTTTATTGGGACAGGAGTGATTGATTAATATGGCACTCTATGTACTTTTTAAGGCTGTAGTTTAGATGTGTTAAAAACTGCAATATATATGTTCATGGGGTCTTGTTATTTAGTTCTACCTGCTGTTGGCATCATTATATTTTCATAAGATTTTTTTTAAATAATTCTCAATGGAGTACCCAAGCCACACAATGCAATCATCAAGTAGGCTCTGTGATAGTGTCTAATGTGATTCCATTTTCTAGTTAGACAAGTTTAAACACACACACACCAAACACACATTTTATTATACCGTGTATATAGTATATACTAGTTGATAGTAGTATATTACATATACCATACACTTTCTTTCAGCAGTTGCTTAGCTGCTCAGGCTCAGCACCACACAAAATCAGCAAGAAGCTGGAACGGTCAGTGGTAATAAGCTGCGTAAGGCTAAGCTAAACGTCGTCGTATCCACAGTCTGCTCATCTGTCCGGTGTTATCGTTTCAAGTCTAGCGGAGCTCAGGCCATAGCGTCCAACCTGGCGCACTAAATCGTTTGAATGTCATCTGTTACTGTTTAACTGTGTAATGCAGGTTATTTCTGAAATTGAGCAGCCGAACTGGTTCATATTAGCCAGTGTTGCTCTACCTTAATGTACAATGCCACATCGTCCGTGCACACCCGATGGTTTGTCTTGATTCCCCTGCTGGTTCACACAACTGCAGGCAGGAGTTTCACATTTTGACAGCCACTTTTAATCCTTAAGGGCGTGCCATTGTTTGTATGTATTTGTTCTTGTTTAGTCGGCGGAGCACAGCTACTGACCGGCCAGCTGAACGATAAGATTAGCTAGAGCTGGTGGTGCTCCACACGGAAGGCAACATACAACAGTAACGATGCTGGGATCAGAGAAATCAAAAAATAGAAGACAGACTAATCCACGTCGAGTTCTCTGTTGATACAACTAAGCAAGGACTAGGAGCCGCACCCACACACGGGCATAACAAAAGGCCCGCCCACACCCGCTGGAGATTACAACACCACTATACATCGACCACATCACGCGCAACCCGTCCACACAACATTGTTCACACCACGGCACCCGCGTCCGTCAGTCGGAAATCGTACCCATACGGATGGCGGCCACAAAATCAACCACAGAACGCGTCCATCGCTATTAATGCAGACCTCTCCTCAAATACACAACCACGATAGTGTCCACGCCAGCTCGCGTCCACCTAACACAGCAGCCATAATATAACAAGCGATTATATCTAAAACTGACAATGTTAGACAAACATCTTAGACGAGAACGCGCTTCCTCTAATACTAACACCACAAACCCACCCAATCCAAAAACTCTGAAATTGTTAAAATTTAATTCTACCTGTCAAAACTATGAATTGACCTGAGTTTTAAGGTGTTTGGCAGCCTTGTTTTTCTCGCTCTCTCGGCAGCCTTGTTAACTTTGACTGACTATCCGGTAATGTACAGATGGGTTGCAGTTATCTATGGGTATATCTTAACCAGTATTTATCTCTTTTTGTTGATGCATTTTCCTTTAGTACTATTATTATTTATTTCTATTATTACTGTTATTTTATATTTTATGGACGCTTTTAAAATGCATGTTAAACATTTAGAGACAGCTCAAGATATCATAAAATAATGATTAAAAATCCTACATTATTCCAATTAAATTCTACCTGTCAAAAACTATGAACTGACTGTGTCTTAAAATGTGGTTTCTAAGAGACAATGTCCCACACAGATAGTTGATAGTTGAAAATGTGGTACAGAAACAGCAGGACCTAGCTTGTGGATACCCTTGTAAGAATGATCCCACAACAAGCATGGACATGTTTTTATCTGCTGTTGCTGCTGCATACTGCGTCACTTTATGGTCCGTTAAATACAATTAAGCTACAGCCAGGTGTTGGTTAGTTTAGCATAAAAACTATAAACAAGGGCAAACACAGATTTTTAAGGATCTGGCAGCCTTTTATTGAATGCATTGAAACCTGTAATCTTTGAACTGACTGCAACGTAGGCCAGTACTAACACCCAGGTACAATGGTTGAGTTATCTCATGTCATATCAACATTTTTTTAAATGTATTTACATTTATTATTATTATTATTATTATTATTATTATTTATTTCTTTTATTACTGATATTTTCTTTCACCCTCTTTATTTTCTGTTGGCTGTGTATTGTACATACTGGGAATACAGACACATCATGTTAAACAACCCATTTAACAACAGATAGTGTCGCAGCTCCATCCATAAGAGCATTTTAGATGCTTTTAAAATGCATGTTAAACATTTAGAGATATCTTAAAATAATTATTAAAAATCAAAACTGTTCAAATGAAATTCTACCTGTCAAAAACTGACTGCGCAGAAATAGCCTTAAAATGTAGTTAAGACACAGTGTCCCACACAGATAATTTAGAAAAATGGGGTGCTGAAATAGCAGGATGTACAATTTTTTGCTTTTTGTTTTTACCTGCTGTTGCTGCTGCATAGTGTCACAATGTATGGATGGTAGAATCTCAGGAATTCATTTCTCCATGTTAAACAAATGTAAAGATGTTGCTCTGTATACATACATCTTCTGCCATGTTTGTAATTAGTAAGAACACAGTTTTGTAGTCAGGAGAGCATCTGATGTGATTCAGACAAACTCTTTATTCAACCACACTGTAAACATTAAGAGAAAACACAGTATACAAAAGGACTCACCATGCCTGGACAAAGCAACTTAATATACTTCTGTATAAAAGAGAATATTAGTTTCTCAGGGATGTCATATACAATATATGTGCATGCAGGATGTCAAATACTAGTAAATATGTCAAACTTGGTTTAAGACTGAAAAACGGCTTAAATAAACTATGTAGTGTCAAAACAATGCCGCAATTTGCTTCATTGAGATTCTTGTTTTGCATTTAGGTAGCCTACTAAGGCATGCTGTTTTTGATATATATTCACCACTGACCACCTTGTGATGAAACTGTGTGTTAATTGAGGTCTTTTTTCTTGAATTTACTTTTAGAAGTATTGAGGTTTTAATTATTTATCAGAAGCAGCAAGAGCTCAAGCTATAACCACTCAGCTTTTATTTGAAAAAGTTTCCCCTGCCAGAAACATAAAACACTGTTCAACAGCCACTAGACCCCAGATGTTCAGACCAGTTTTAGTCTGCCGAACCATGGTCATGTGTCGTCCTCTCCTGCTGTCAGACCCATTCTATTTCACTGACCCTGGGGCTTGTGTCAGGGCTGGAGGGAGGTGTAACAAGACATGGCTTCAAGGGCACAGTTTCCCCAGAGTCTTCAACTTCAACCCCAACACAACTCTGGGACACTCCTGTAAGGCGTAATACAGTAGTCCCTGCTGTGAACCCTGACAGCCTTCGAGCCAGAGTCCGGGATGCCATCCTGAGCCCCCCTGCTCTTTTCCGTCTGGCTGATGCTGTAGCCATTTGCCGAGCCCCAGCCAGTTCAGTCAGAAAACCCAGGCTCTGGGAGGGGAGGCTGTACACATGAAGGCCACGGAAAAGTTCTGGCAGCGGCCAGAAACCACCCGGAGGCTCAGGTGGAAGTGATTCAAACTGCACCAACATAAACCGCTCACCAGCACGGCCCTGTAAATAGTCAGCTAGAATGCAGCTCAATGAAGCAGTAAAAACATCCCCACAGGGAGAAGAGGCAGTATTGCTTCTTCCGGCCTCCTCTTCCTCCACATTGCTGTTCCTCTCCCTGGGAGTGTTTCTCTCCCAGCTCCGAGCTCCCCATTCTTCAGCCCTAATCCAGGCAGCCTGGGTCAGGACTAGCACCACTTTGCCCCCCTGCCTTTGTAGTCGGTTAAGCCTTGAGTGGAGCCAAGGCACAGGGCCCAGCACACTGAGCTCGGCCTGGCTCCACAGGTCAAGAGACACGCTGAATCCAAGGGCTTGGAGGGATGAGCCTAGGTGACTCATCAGCTCTGGCAAAGCCTGGTTGTCATCAGGTGGGTACAGCAACACCACATGACCACCACCCACAGCACCTGAAATAGAGGAAGATTAAAACATTTTATAAAGTTTAAAGGAAATGCTTGACATTTTGAGAAATATATCACACTCATATCTGTCCGTTAAAAGACAAAGCTACAGCCTGGTGATGGTTAGCTTAGCATACAAACTATAAACAAAAGGAAACACAGATTTTTAAGGATCTGGCAGCCTATTGTTGAATGCATTAAAACCTGTAACCTTGGAACTGGGTCCAATGTAAGCCAACACTAACACCCACACAATGGTTGAGGTATGTCAGGGACAGGTATATCATATTATATCAAATGTGATAAAAAAAATATTTATTCATTTTATTTTTATTCTTTAATGTATTTACCTTAATTTATATATTTTTATATGTTATTATTTATTGCTATTACTACTACTATTTTCTTCCCTTGTTTTCTGCTAGCTGTGTATTGTATTATTTAGTTTTTAATTGAAATAAGTTGTACTGTTCTTGCACATTTAAAAACTCTAAAGTATCCAAAAAAAAAACACAAAACAAGGAGAGACAGTTCTCCTGGCTCTGTTCAACATTTCTTGTGTACAAACAAAGTGTAAAAATAACATTTTGCCATTTTAAGGGGGGTTCTGTGGCAGACTGTTTCTCGGCTGGAGGCAGTAACTTCAGTCTCCTGGTTGCCTGGTAACCGTTGTGGTACAGAGCCAGGCTAGCTGGCTTTGTGCTAAGCTAGGCTAACTGCTGTTAGCTGTGAGCTTATATGTAACGGACAGATGTGAGGGTATTATCAACCTTTTCCAAAATGTATAACTGTTCCTTTATGTTCATGGAAAATAGGATAAGAGGAGAGGATTTGTTTTGCATTCCGGCAGAGAAGAACACAATCAGTAGCTGGCTAACAGTAACACTTGCTAAAAGATACCAGATATAAAAGAGCATTTAGGAGGAAAGGAAAACACATGCCACTGAAAATGTAAACACAAGAGCATGAATA